TATAATAATTCGAAGTATGGTTGTTCTATTTTTAGTAATCCCAATATAATAAATTGAAAATGTTGCAAATAAACTGAAAAGTAATACTCCGTCTTTTTCTATATTAAATTTTCTTATATATATACTTTTATATAAATATTTCATTGCATGCATCACTTTCCTATTTTTGTTGTTGTAAATTTTTCATCTATATATACATAAATCTTCTACTTTTCTCACCTTTTATCACCTATTCATACATTTCCGTCTATGTTTCAAGCTATTAACACTTCTTCTACATTTTACACTTTCAATTACATCACTTAAAATTATAATATTGATACCTTCTCATTAAAAATAACCAAACCCTCCAAAGTCTCTACCTTAAATCTTATAATTTAATCGATAAACTATATTATATAAAATATAGAATATAATAATTAAAAATAAAGAAAGTAGAAAGAAATTAAAACTACTAAAATTCAAAAAATGAAAAGTTTAGATTTTTAGAATTATGATTGCATAAAATATCTTTTCTGTGAAAAAAGTTAGAAAAAACCTCCTAAACCAAAAAAATAATCACCATATACTTTCTTGGAAAAAATGTAAATTTGAATAAAGGAAAATAATACAAAATCATATATCTGGTACATAACTCAGAAAAATAGATTTTGAAAAATAAAGAAAAATGATTTTTTACTAAATATAAGTTTAAAATGTCTAAAAATATTTTTTGATACTTTGATAATCGGAAATTTATAAAAACATTTCTACATATTCTGAAAATTGAGAGATGATAGTTAGGATTAATAACAAAAAAACAATTATAGTTGAGAGTGTTTGTAGCTTACATTTAGTTCTCATCTAAAAATGATCTCATATACGAGGTGGTAGTTGATTAATGATGAAGAGTCGAAAGTCAACAATTTATCCTCTTGTTGATAGGATAATCCGTCTTTCACTAACTCTTCTAGTTTCAACAACAACCACAGAAAAAGCATTTTCAACCATGAAAATTGTGAAGACTTGCCTCCGAAATAAAATGGGGGATGACTTTCTTTGAAGCTACCTGGTGACATATATAAATAGACATATAGCTCGGGGGTTTTCAACAGATTTTATCATTAATGACTTTGATCTATAAAAAAATCGTAGAATTCAGTTTAGAATGCCCAACTTTCATAGAAGGGGTTGAATGAAAATTCCTATTTTGTTATTTTTTGTTGAAAATATGTGAAATATTATGCATTTGGTAATCTAAACATTTTAGCAAATATATGCTACATTTTGTAATACTCCGTATGATAGTATAAAATTTTGCGATTTCGCCCCCCTTGATCAAATTTCCTAGATCCATCCTTGAATGGGAGGACTAAAACTCTGACAGGACGTAATAATAAAAAGAAGTCAAACTTACAAACAACGGAGCATATATTTGATAGAACTTTCAAACATGCTTTTTAAAAAACGTAATTAAAGACTCCTTAGCAAGCCTAGCATAAGGATGCTTTTACTTAAGCTGTTTTCTGTCACAGACCAGATCATATCATACCAGACTAGACGAGATCAGATCAAATTTGGACACTTATAAAATACCGAAAGATCAATCATTTTTCAAATCAGAACAAGCCAGAGAGAGTTATTCTAATTCTCATTAGACTCTCCTCACCATTTACATAATACAAGTGTTTAGTCTTGGAAGTCATTAATGGAGCTTCCAAACTTTCTCGAGAAAGGGGGGAGGGTGGAGAAGAAGAGAACTAGCTAGAGAGAGAGAGAGAGATTTCCCAATATGGAGGAAACAACTCATATTTATAGGGAAAGGGGGGTGTGCTATGCTACCCTAATGGGCTGAAGTGCTCGAATGGGCCGGAGCGAGCCGAAGCGGGCCGAAATGAACCGGGTTGGTCATAAAGGGCTTGCTGGATCGAGATGGGTCGAAATGAGCTCCTGAACAGTAGTAGGTCACGATAATATTTTCCAACAATATATATTTGAATGAGATGAACAATTAATTGCCATTGTCTAATTTATAATTAGCATGGATGATGTTCATTCATATTAATTGTTGGGGTATATTACCTGGTCCTACCACTATTCAGAGGCCCAAGATACCGCCCAGTACGAGACCCAATCAATGAGACTCATTTAGGCCAACTCAGTCCATTTAGAGCCGTTTAGGCCCACACGGCCTACTTAGGCCACTTAAGCCCATTAGGGCCTTTCTGGCCCATTAGATCAGAGGGATCCCCCCCCCCCCCCCCCCCCCCCCCTCCTATAAATAGGAAGCTTAAAGGGGGGAGTGCTTGGGCTTTGGCTCTTATCTCCCAAGGGAGTCTTCTCCTTCCCCTTCGATAGCTTAGTTATTCAAACTCCATTAATGGAGTCCCAAGAAATATGTATTAGGTGAATTGAGTGATGATAGTATATCAATGAGAAAGAGTTGGACGTTAGCCTAAAAATCTCATGGTTTCCTCTTTTTCCGGATTTCCACGTAAACACAGAGCATTGCATGCATATTATATCTATATCTATTAGTTTATGTTGGACTTTAACTCAACATTAATATAAATAGATTACCTATTCAAGTCTAGCTGTCTAGGTACTTTATTCACAATATTTTATGTTTTTCGGTGTATTGTGATTATGATTTGTTATATTTGTAATTATTTGGAGATAATTATACGTAAATTCAAGTTATAACAACTTGAGAAAAATAGAATTGCATATTAGCTAATAATGTTGCGACCGCATGGCCCCACCACACATAAGACGGCGTTGGTGCATCTAATAAAGTCATAGAGCGGCAAATTGTACCACCCATGCTGCTCCAATTCATTGTCTGTCGACTGCTGAATCTCTATTTCGAAGTCTTTCACGATACAACTTCTTGTCACTGAAACAACACTTGGCTCACCTAGACAACTAGATACTACGTTTTGAAAAAAGCTTGGTGTACACATTTTGGTGTACACCTTTCGTACGCTTGTCTGCCTTAAGCACACAGAATTGTTTGTCCATAAACAATTTTGTAGAGTTACCAGTGGACAGACAGTTTTGTATGCGTGAGACAGACAAGCTTACGAAAGATGTACAATTGTACACAAAAATGTGTACACCTAGCACATCCCCTACATTTGGGGTTAGAATTCGGGAGTGAGTGGGGATGATAATTGTGACTAATTGGATATAGGGGTGGGTTTGGACAGGCCCAAGCCAATAAAAGATGGGCTTCAATCCAGGTCTAGGTCGAGTTGGGTCAAGCTACTCGATCGGGCTTTGGTCCGGGCTCGGGTCAAACACAAAAAACATTTTTTTTTGAATTTTTATATGTTGAGCCTGGACCGAGCCCAGCCCAACCGAGCTAGTTCACTTAAAATATATCCCAATACTGCCAGCTTCTTCCTACATTTCAGGCCCCAAGCTTGGTTCCCATCAACCGGACCAGGCCTTATAGCACGCTAGGTAGGCCCATTCCAGACCATCCTTAATTGGATTCTTGCACCAAACCGATCAACGCAAAGAATATTTTTGAAAAACAATTTATAAATAATTTTTTACCATAAAAATTAAAGCATTTTTAAAATTTGGAGTGGGCTAACGCTCAAATTGGCCCTCCTAACTCCACCCCTGCATCAGGCAACGGGCACTAAGCTGGAAACAACAGTTTTATTTTTATGAGCAACTCTGTGAGTGTGTATGAGATTGAAACATCTCATGTCCGTAGTTGCCTAGGTGATGTCATTTTCAAGCTTTTAAAAACATTTATTTTTTATATTTATATATTAACAACACCTTTAAGAAATCAATTACCCGCAATTTTACGGATCGTGATTCTCTGCCTTGCTATGGCAGTAAGGTACGGTGCGAGGCTTATTCAATCAAGGCAGCCCCATAGCCTCTCCTCCCCTTTTGTCTCTGCCGTTGGATGCCGCAAGGCACCTCTGCCAGGTTCCAAATCCCAATTTTCCCCTCATAACCTTTGAGGGCAGTTATGAATCAGAAAAAAATTACCATCTGTGGAGGCCGGTGAAGGAGATGGGTCGTTTTGAATTAAAATATTTATCCCATAAACTTCCTAATTATTTTCTAAATAGAAGATAAGAAAGTTTTATTCGGTTGACCTCTTACAATGTCTACGCAATTTATTTATTACAAACACACATAATTTCGGAATGCGATACGTAAGGACAACCATCTTCGTGTAAGATCTGAACTATCATTCTGCCATTTCAAATCTAGCCTTTAACAATGGAAGCTAAACAAAAATAAAAGGATAGACAACCGCCACCACTGGGAAATCAGACACCAATTCAAAGAAAATTAAGAGGATATCCAAAAAGTACTTAATTTGAACAAAAAAAAAAGTTTGAACCCACAGTATACTTGAAGCAGGTAATTGATGCAATGACCAGATGGAGAAGATGGAGAAAAATAGTGGATGAGTCATGGGTGGGGCAGAGAAAAGGTTGATGAGTTGGGAGGTTAAAAGGGCAATTTAAAGTGTAGAGTACTTGTTTAGGTAACAAGGATGATCAATTTCTTTTACACATAGCCCTCTTTATCACTCAGGCAATCCAAAACATAACTCCATTTTTACCTTGAAAGGTGTTAAGAATTTAAGCAAATCTAGGTTCAGTATATATGGACAAATATTAGGCTAGGTAGATGCTGTAAAAGTTTGGTAGTTAATCTATGTGAATATGCTAAAAAGAGCATGTGAAAATAACTTAACATTCAATTACTTCTGAATTCACATGCTCTTTAAAACATAGTTAATTAATCCTAAATTTGCATTTAGTAGAAGTGAATATGTTAAAAAGAACATCTGAAAATAACTTAATCTTCAAATACTTCCTAATGGAGTAATATTTTGGATGTTCTATAAGGCAAACCTAGATTTTATAAAAAAACTCAAATTTTTGTAATTACCCAGTAACTGTAAACACATAAGCTGAAACCAAACTTAAGCTTAGAGGAATCCATAACTCCAAACAGCTAACTGTAAGTACATCTTTAAGTGCTCATTCAAATAAAAGTGTCCAGTAGAAGTTGCTTACGCAAGATAAGCACAACAATGCACAATCCGTTTCAATAACATTTGTTTAGTACGAATAGAATCAAATCCATTTTATATGTCTTATTTCATAATCTGGTATCAGATGCTTGCTAGCCTGTTTGGTAGAGGTTATCAGACTCAAATGAAAGAAAAACATCCGTAACCAATCTCAGCTTATTAGCCAAATAAACGCCAAAACAAAACAAAGTAATTTTTTGGAACATGCTGATAATGCTACAAAATTGGATTACTAATAGAAACAGCTGATGCAAAAAACAGATATTAGAAACACAGATGCATCTTCGACGATTAAGTGCAGCATTTTAACAGCAGACTTCACCACAAATGGAAATCTTTCGGTATCAAGCACATGTAAACACAGAGTAAATGACAAACAGAATAAGCATAATATAAAACTTCAGACTGAGTTCCACAAAAGCTGAAATAAATAATCAAAAGTTCATTAGAGCAGATAAACCAAAACTTGAACGGACGGCTTACTAAACGAGATAACACAAACACTTTGCAATAGACTTCCAAACTGCCAATCAACGGTAGGATTTCTGGAACCTGGAACGAGCACCACGTCCACCAAACTTCTTGGGCTCGCAGCGCCTTGGATCCGCAACAAGCAATGTCCTGTCATAGCGGACGAGGATGTCCTTGATCTCTTTCTTCGATTGCTCGTCGACAAACTTCTGATAAAAGGCTACGAGGGCCTTGGCGATAGATTGACGAATGGCGTAGATTTGAGCTGTGTGACCTCCTCCGTTGACACGGATGCGCATGTCTACGCCGGCGAAGCGGTGGCGGCCCAAAAGGAGGATAGGCTCACAGGCCTTATAACGGAGGATCTCTGGCTGGATCAGCTCGATTGGTGTTCCGTTGATCTTGATGAGTCCACGGCCGCGCTTGCAGTGTGTCACGGCAACCGCCGTCTTCTTACGCCCGAAACATTGAACGTGCTCCACCGGTGAAGTCGCCATGCTACCGTTTACCTTGGCTGCGGATATCTACGCCTGCACTCTGAGAGCGAAAGAGTATACGCGCAACAATTTATGGGGTTAGGGTTTTGAACATTAAATTTATAGGTGAGTGAAAGAGACTCGAGCCCTAAACTTTGGGCCGCTATATGGATTCGGTCCAACTCAGGATACCGATATTAAATTGCGCAAATCTGTATACCGTATTTATAAAAGACCCACTTCATATATTAGATCAATAGAACAACAAACCGTAGAAAGCCCAGAAAAGTGTGTTTTTGTTCAAAACATTTTTTTTGGACAAAAGACTAACTCTCCATTAAATAAGAATATTGTTCCCGTCAGGCTTACAAAAAAATCAGAAATAACCGTAAAAATATTACTTTGATTTGAGATATATAAGTGAGCTCGAGCTAAAGTGTGGGCTGCACGATTCACACACCGCTTACAAAAAGAGATATTAACATTGCTCTTTGTTTGAAGTAACTATTGAATGTCATCGATAATCAGATCTGTGTACAAACTGCCCTCCTTTCTTGATCCTCTGTACGATCACTTGGGTGTCGGTCTCAATCACTACCTTGCTCCATCCTTCCCTGCTAGCTTCTTTAATAGCCTCTATAATATGAAGGGCTTCGGTCTCTGCCGATGACAACCCCGCTTTCCTTGATTCTCCACATGCTTTAATAAATTCTCCTTAATCATTTTGTGCTATCTGTCATCAAACTCTAATCTCATATGTCATATTCATCGGCTCATCACGACATCAATAATCATCCCTTCTATTCTGTAACCTAGTTAAAATGCTCATAATCAGGTCATTGTCCTCCTTATTGAATATGGGCAAAATTTTCTCCTTGTTCCAATTTTTTTTAGAAGAATCACGCAAAGCAACAGCATTCATGTCCAAAATCCCCACTGGTCTCTGAGACTGCACTCTTCATATGCCCTACCCAAATACCCATGCATCTCCCATACCTGCAATTTATTGGTGGTTATAAAATTCTTTTTTTGCAAATTTTGGCTAAACACACTGCACACAAATAGGTAATTCTGAGAGTATGTTGTACAGGAGGTAACTCTGATATAAGTTCTCTAGTGTATGTTTGATATGGTATTCTTTTTGTCTATTGTTGATTGATAAGGAATGAATGAAGTTTTCAATTATTTTGTTACATTAATTTTACCCTTGATGTTGATAACTTGGAAAAATATTCAATGATGTTGTAATAACAAATATTTTGGAAAAAATTGATTAACACTCACATCGATTCAGAAGTGTAATCTATTACGGAATATTAGTTTTAAAATTATTGGTCTATATTGGCTTCAGCCTCTCTGAGAGTTATTTTACTCTTCAGGCACATTGCTATGAGTATTGAGCTCCATTAGTGGTTCTCTTCCTTTTTGTGGTCATTGTGTCCTCCTACTATGTGCAGCCACATCTCTGCCTCGGTTCGCTTCTTCGACCTTGCGTCTAACTTATGTTTGTTTTAATCAAATTTTTAATGCCTTTATTATTTGTTAATTTATTTTTTTGCGAGAATTGAAAACTGATATGGGAGTTGGAGGATAAGGAATCTTAAAGTTGAATAGTTAAGGCTATGTTGAAATATAGAGGTAACTCATAAAAATATTGCTCCTTGTACTAAGGCTATGTTGAAATATAGAGATAACTGATAAAAACTGTGTTAGAATGGAGCTCTTTTCACCATAAGGGTATAGTATTTTTGTTAGTTTGCTCTATATCGAGTGACAATGAATTTAGATGAAGAGCAAATTTCAAGTGGCAATGGAGTATTTATGTTTTCATCCTTAATTGACACCTTTTGAAAATAGAAGCCAAAATATGGCTGTGAGGACCATGGGAAATTGGTACATACTGTGCCATGACTGAGAGAACAGTTGACTTTAAGCAATTCCGATTAAGTTCATTATATGATTTTAGCGTTTCCTGATCATTCTTGCTTAAATTTGTCGAACTTCATTCTTGCATAAATGAGAAGAGATCTGTCAAAACATTATTAATCTTTTCAAAGTATTCTCATTACTTTCACACTATGAAGGTATCTTTAATAGAGTTCTCATTTTTGTTTCTCGAATTCAAATCTGGATTATTGTTCTTTACATTTTTATTATTAAATCTTATTATGGCTCAAACCAAAGTGGTAAATGATGGCTTGCAATTTCAGTTGATGACCAAAATTTCAACTTCAATATCTTGACGTTGATAATATTTGTACCGAGTTTGAGAATATTTTTATCATTAAATCTTATTGTGTAACCAAGTTTGATAATATTTTCATCATCAATTTCAGTTTTATCCTAGTGTGTTGTACAAGAAATCCAAATGGAAGACATATTGGGCATGGATGTTGGCAGAATGCTAGAGGTTATGGTTAAGGTTCCAAGCTACCCAACCAATGTTCTTATGTTCCCTGTGATGATCACTTTCTTACGAGCTTAACAAATAATATTTGTTTTAGCATGTAGAAGTGTTAGTTTTTTAGTTGTTGTGCCGGTTTGATGTGTGAAATTGTTTCACTTTGGTAAAGTATTTGTGTTGTAATATTAGAATACATGAATCTCACAATTTGAGTTATTAAATGAATATGGTTACTTGATAATTTGTTTATCTATAAATATCGATATGATTTTATTATTATGAGATAATATAATCTTGTTAGTAAATGTCGATATGATTTTATTATTATGGATACAAATATACACATGATATCAATGAGTTATAAATTTTTATGATACCAACGTGTCAAAAAAGTTTTCGATATTAGTGCATTGTTAGTTTATATGATGTTTTGGTGTCATTAAGACTGCCAACACAAATGTATCCGTGAATTTTATGATGTTTGAGTGTCGTAATTTGCTGACACTTTTACAGTGACACTAATTTTTGTGTCACAACTCCCATCACTTGTTGACACTTTTACATGTGCCACTAAAACTTTTAGGGGGTGTATTGTATTAGGAATTAGTGGCAAAATTTGAAAAGTTCATGGATTTTAAAAGTTTAGGTGTATTCAATGTGGACTTTTAAAAGTCTACAAAAGTCTAGATGTATTCAATGTAGACTTTTAAAATTTCTATAAAAGGCTAGGCGTATTCAAAGTTCTGTTCCTTCTTATTGACTTCTAAAATTATGGATTCTTGTGGACTTTTAATTCATTCTTAGTACATTAATTCTCTGCAATTTTCTCTTCTCCTCACTAAAGACTTTCGTGGACTTTTCTTATATCGGTTCTTCATCCCTAACCACATCATCATCATCATTCTTCTTCTTCCTCTTCCTCTTCCTCTTCCTCTTCCTCTTCCTCTTCCTCTTCCTCCTCCTCCTCCTCCTCCTCTTCCTCCTCCTCCTCCTCCTCATCCTCTTCCTCCTCCTCCTCTTCCTCCTCTTCCTCTTCCTCTTCCTCTTCCTCTTCCTCTTCTTCTTCTTCTTCTTCTTCTTCTTCTGCTTCTTCTTCTGCTTCTTCTGATTCTGCTTCTTCTGCTGCTTCTGCTTCTTCTTCTGCTTCTTCTCCTGCTTCTGCTCCTTTTCCTGCTTCTGTTTCTTCTCCTGCTTCTTCTTCTTCTTCTGCTTCTTCTTCTGCTTCTTCTTCTGCTGCTTCTTCTGCTTCTTCTTCTACTTCTTCTTCTACTGCTTCTTCTTCTGTTGCTTCTCCTGCTTCTGCTGCTTCTGCTTCTGCTGCTTCTGCTTCTGCTGCTCCTGCTTCTTCTGCTTCTTCTACTTCTGCTTCTGCTTCTCCTTCTTCTGCTTCTCCTTCTTCTCTTTCTTCTTCTCCTTCTTCCTCCTCTCCTTCTTCCTCTTCTTCTTCCTCTTCATCTTCCTCTTCTTCTTCCTCTTCCTCTTCTTCTTCATCTTCCACTTCCTCCTCTTCTTCTTCTTCTTCCTCTTCCTCTTCTTCCTCTTCCTCTTCTTCCTCTTCTTCCTCTTCCTCCTCTTCCTCTTCCTCTTCCTCTTCCTCTTTCCTCTTCCTCTTCCTCTTCCTCTTCCTCTTCCTCTTCCTCTCCTCCTCCTCCTCCTCCTCCTCCTTCTTCTTCTTCTTCTTCTTCTTCTTCCTCTTCCTCTTCTTCTTCCTCTTCCTCTTCTTCCTCCTCTTCCTCCTCCTCCTCTTCCTCTTCCTCCTCTTCTTCCTCCTCCTCTTCCTCCTCTTCCTCCTCCTCCTCTTCCTCCTCTTCCTCTTCCTCTTCTTCTTCCTCCTCTTCCTCTTCCACTTCTTCCTCCTCCTCTTCCTCTTCCTCTTCTTTTTCCTCCTCTTCCTCTTCCTCTTCTTCCTCTTCTTCCTCTTCCTCTTCCTCTTCTTCCTCTTCCTCTTCTTCTTCCTCTTCTTCTTCTGTAACACTTGAGATTTAGTTTAAACGGATTAATAGTACTACTCATACTAACAAGGTGCATCTCCTTTTAAGGGAGCTCATTAGCCAAGAACTCCAAAGTTAAGCGTGCTTGCACGGGAGTAGTCTTTGGATGGGTGACCCCCTGGGAAGTTTCTCAGAGCGCGCACGAGTGAGGACAAAGTGCGCGGAAAAGGCTAGTGGCGGTTTGTGAGGACAGTACTAGAGGTCAGAAGTAACTACCTCGGGGCCTACGGGGCCGGGGTGTTACAAGTGGTATCAGAGCAAACCTGCGACAGTGTGCTGATCCGTTGGATATCGGGCGGGCACTTAGTAGGGGAAAAGATTCTGGGATATGATTGAGATTGGTTTATGGGCGCAACGAGGACGTTGCGTTCCTAAGTGGGGGTGATTGTAACACTTGAGATTTAATTTAAACGGATTAATAGTACTACTCATACTAACACGGTGCATGTCCTTTTAAGGGAGCTCATTAGCCAAGAACTCCAAAGTGAACGTGCTTGCACGGGAGTAGTCTTGGGATGGGTGACCCCCTGGGAAGTTTTTCAGGGCGCGCACGAGTGAGGACAAAGTGCGCGGAAAAGGCTAGTGACGGTTTGTGAGGACAGTACTAGAGGTCATAAGTAACTACCTCAGGGCCTACGGGGCGGGGGTGTTACATCTTCCTCTTCTTCTTCCTCTTCCTTCTCCTCCTCCACTTCTTCTTCTTCTTCTTCTTCTTCTTCTTCTTCTTCTTCTTCTTCTTCTTCTTCTTCTTCTTCTTCTTCTTCTTCTTCTTCTGCTCTTCTTCCCTTCTTCTCCTCCTCCTCCCCACCCTCCTCCTCCTCCTCCGCCTCCTCCTCCTCCTCCTTATTCTTCTTCTTCCTCCTCCTAGCTCACCCCACCCCTCTCCTTCAGTTCTTCTTCTTCTTCATCTTATTCTTCTTCTTCAGCATGCCCCACCCACCCCCCGTTAATCCCATATTTATTCAGTTCTAGAAGTTTTTAGAAGAATCGATATAAACATCGATAGTATTACATCGGTGCAATTCTGGTACATCGTCAGTTAACTTTTAAGAAAATAAATATTTTAACTATTACTTTCTTTCATCGTTAAATTGCTAACACATTAAAATATAATTTCAAATTAATGAATATATAACCGTAAATAAGTATACAAAATTTTACAAGATGGAAAAGAAAAGAAAACAAGTATTGAGAAGAAAAGCTTGATTGCATCAATGCGTGTACCACATGTAGCAATGAGTGTGACGATTAATGTTCTTACTCATTAATAAAATGACCAAAACTCTTGAGCATGTCGAAACTTTGAGTTTTATTTTTAATCCAAATAAATTTGAATCTTTATGTTTCATTTATTCTTGTAGAACTATGTGTTGCAATATGAATTACATTTGTTTCATTTATTTGTTTGTTTGTTTCTTATCATACTTCGTATTTTACAGAAAATATTACTCACGATAGGACTAAAACATACGGCGTATGTTTTATTTTCCTTAAGTATGACTAATGATAACATATTCACCTCTAATTTAATTAATTAATTAATTAATTGATATAATTAATTGTCTCTAGTTCACTTGCATAACTAAATTCGGCCATTTTGTTGTTGGCGGACCAGTCCGATTACGACAACGGGGAACTTCAGTGACGGAGGTGGACAGGCAAATCGATAGAAGTGATCTAGATGAAAATTCCAATTACCAGCAGTGGTGATCCGCATTTAAAAGTCTACGAACTTTTTAAAAGGCAATAAATTTATCCATGAATTTAAAAGTTCATAAAATTCATTCATAAAAAAGTTTATGGATTTAAAAGTACGTCGATTTTTTTAAAAATTCATGGACTAAAAAAGTACACCACAATTCATATTCAATACACCCCTTTAGAGACACTATAAACAATTTCTCTACTAGTGTGGTGATCATGGCAAATGTACAACTGTAGGGGGAGCTACCCAATAAACAACCACTAGCCTCTCATTGTTCATTAGAAAAAACCCAGCCCATATGAGTGCCCCCAATTAGAAATAAATAAATGCCCCCATATATCTTTTGTTTTCGCGTCTTGAATTATTTAAAAATAAAAAAAGCAAGGTTAAAGTTAATTTTCTGACCGTATTGACAGAATTTATTGTAGATGACCATTTTAGTTATTTTTACATATAATTTTTTTTATTTTATTAATAAAATATATTTTAAAAATGGTTTTTTTTTAAAATCTGCGTAATCAACCAATGCAATCACTTCGATCGTAACTTCGTAAATTTCAGCAGAATGAATCAATCAAATAACAGATTTTCATGTTACGTACTCTAAATCATTTAAATGTTTGAGAATGATCCGACAATGAAACTTGAGAACATATTAAACTATATCGTTCCACGGATCCAAACAAAACCGCTTCGATGAATGTGTATACACAAAATATTAATAATAGTCAGTGGACAGTAAATGTTTTCCAATATTTCATACAAAATGTATAAATGTTACGCGATGTAATAATAATAATAATAATAATAATAATAATAATAATAATAATAATAATAATAATACAGAAGTGCGAAGGCAAATTACCCTCGTTTTCAGTAACAAAAATAAAATTGCTAAAGAATTGCGCAGAGGACAAATTGTCCAAAATTCGGTATTTGAGTTTGTTGTTTTAGTTTAGCTTTTCGAATTCTTACCTGAAATTTATAAAAAAGGAGGAGTTCAATTAAGTTTTCTATCGTCAAAGCCGAACGACGTCGCAGCGAGCAAAATCATCGGAGTTTACAAGCGAGTAATCGCGTGGCCAACAATCGCGAAGAAGTTTCAACAGCATTTGGGCTTTCCGTTTCGCCCTCTCCGTACACCCGCTCTGAACCAGAAGCAGCAATTGTGTCAACACGCCGGCGGCAACAGCGTCGCGCTGCACTTGCTCGGAGGAGGAGCAGAGCGAGAGCAATGCTCCGGCCGCGTACTCTGTTGCGCGCTCAGATATCTTCAGGATGATCTTAACGAGGACCGGGACGGTCAACTTGTTGGCCGCGAACGCCGCGCATCCTGACGGGATCCGGCAGAGGAGCTCTACCGTCGCCAGAGCTCGTTCCACGTCGCACTTATCGAGATACTGAAACATGTCGATTAACGCCTCCACAGCTCCGGCTGAAACCGCCTTTTGCCGGTTTTGTTTCACCAAGCACATCGCGAATAGCGCCTTGATTCCGACTCTCATTGCTCCCGAATGTGTCAGGTGAGATTTCATAATCCCGACTATTCCGGTGAAGATCTCGTCGGCGTTGCTGACACGAGATCGCAGCTCCGGCGATTTTATCCCGGAGACGACGGATTCGATCACCGCAGCTGAGTTAACTCGGACATCCATCGAAGGATGAGAAAGCAGAGACACAAGGTACTGGAATCGGTCCACATCCGAAGCGACAAAGAGGCTGTCATCCTCCGAGAGCTGGAACATCGAGAGGATGGAAAGCGCTTCCAGAGCTAACTCCGACGAGTTGGAATCCATATCGGAGAAGACGATCGAAAGCATAACCTCTCGCGCATTATTCGCGGAAATCACGGAGCGGTTGAAATCCGAGTCACGAGCGAGTCCCTTGAGTCGACTCATTGCGGAAAGTCTGGATTTCAAGTTACTGGACCCCGACAAAGCCTGGCCCAACAAGGACTGGACCAAACCCGGTTCGGCAGGTTGCTTTGGAGTAGGAATCCGCTCCACGCCGTAAGCCCGGTTCGCCACGCACCACTCCTGAATGAGCCGCCGGAGGGTGTGGTTGGGAATAAGATTGAAGTCCTTCAACGGCGCTCTGGTAACCGGACACGTCGTATTTCCGGTGGCCACCCAAGACTCTATGCTTTCCCGGTCATACGTCTGGCCGGTACAAACGGTCACCGGATCTTGCATAAGCTCCAGCGAGATCGGGCACCGGAAATAGGAAGGGATCTGAATCCCCGCCACATCCAACGGGTCTAACCTGGCAGGCATTCTTCTCTTCTCTCCCTTGAATTGCCTCTCTCTTCCTCTCTCCGTTTATATTTGAATCTGTGCGTTTGTTTGGGCCAAAACTTGACCTTATGTGCGGCCAAATTGGTTGATAAAAGGCAAAAGGGCAATTGGTGGGGTGAGGAACAACAGAGAGACAAACCAAACAGGCGTTCGGAGGTGCTTTTCTCTGAGTTTCTGTTGATATTGTTGGCTTAAATGTAATTCGCTTCTGACAATAATGCAGACCTACCCCACACGTGCGTGTGGTAATTCTTCACACCCAAATGGCCAAATTCTCAAGATTAGGCTTGACCCGGGTTACCAAGGCATAGTTCATTTGGTCCAAAAAGTTGAATGCTCAACCCCAAGACTCCAACCCCGACTGAGAGAATGGTGGGACCAAGACGTAGTTCACCTGATATGAAGAGAAATCATAAGGAGGATGTCCTAAGTATGGAGTATAACTCAAAGTAATAATTTGTGATAGAAATTCATTTTGTTTTAAACAGAGTGTGATTAAACCTCAATTTACATCCAATTGTCCGATTGGTTATTGGAGTTTCTCAAGGATGAAGTGTGATCCTTTTTAGCTTAACTCGAGTTTGGTTTGAGTGTGAGGTGGGTGGGTGGAGGTCAAGTTGGTTATATGGTGGTCAAACGTAATGTTCCATTTGGGATGATGGTTGAGACCCACTGCCTGCTCATATCTAACTTCTGCTTACATCAATGGGGAATTTATTACAAAGACTAATTATGGATAGGTATTGGGTGGTCTTCATTTTAAAACGATGATGATGTTTGGAATACTGTTATTATTATAAATTATTGTCAGAATTTCAAAATATAATAACCTCATCGCTATAATGGAAGGACTACGTGTTTTTTTGACATTTCTACAACATTGATGGTCAAGTTCATACGCCCTGTTCCAACAGTCAAACTGGACGTGTGAGAAAGAATTTGATTGCCCATTCCAGCGGAATAAATAAAATACTTAGAATAAGTGCCGGTTTGACCCATTTTCAAGTCAGATTTTTAAGGAAACATGCCACGAGAAGAGAATCTACTTCAAAAATAAAAGTTGTTTTCAATTCTTCGTTTTTAGGAAAAGAATGTGAAAATATCAATTTATCTTGTTAACCTAGAAATCAAACTTCTCTTTTTTCAAGTATCTCCCAAGTAAGATGAAAACATAATATGGTGATTGAATGATAAATGTTAATAATGGATTATACTTGGTATATGTATAGTAATTATGTATTAATAATAATTTCATTTCTGTCATGTTTCATTGTGTATCCGAGGGAGTTAGAACCAGGGATGGATTTAAGGGGGGGCGCGGGGGGCGACCGCCTCCCTTGGACTTTCAAAATTTTCTACTATATATGTAATGTTTTGGTAAAATTTTGATACTTTAATTAGATTCGCCCCCCTTAACTTTTTGTTGAATATTGTCCCCCTTAACTTTTAGTTTTTAAAATTAATATATAGTCTTACATAATGTAATACTCAATTGGAGATATAAAAAGGATCATCTAAAATAATTTACATAACTTAAATAAACAATAGAAGAAGTCATTATTTGAGATTTAGGATACTTATTATATAAAAATTCTTAGTTTTGTAATGTTTAATTATCTTTATTCGATAACTAGTAAACAATTTTGAAAAATATATATCAAACGATATTAAATACCAGACACTCTAGCTACAAAGATTTTAGATAATGTGAAGTGTAATCCAAATTATAAATGTTTATTGACATTGAATTACATTATTCATTTACTTCTTACGTTCTAAAAAAGACTTTATTGCATAGATAATAAACTTTAATTATTTTAGCATTAATACAAATATAATATGCACTATGTATATGAATTAGCAATATAATATTATTCTAAAAATAATAATATCATAAATACTATTGTAATATTAAAAGAACTGTTTGTGACTTATGAACACTCATGTAGTTAAACAATGTTGAAGTTATTTTAAAAGTAGTGGTGAATGTGTACCTTATAAACTCTTTATATTTAAATAAAATGTTATATATCATTTTTTTATTTTTTTATCATTTTTCATTGATTTGTCATTTCTTATGCTTTAATGTATCAATACTTTTTTCTAGAGCACTCCAATTATAAAATTTAAGTTATTTTGTCATTGTCTAAACTTAGAATGTAATATATAGATTTAAATGTCGTCATGTATGTATTAATGAATTTTTTTTGGAAAAAAATAGCCGCAGCCTTACACTAGTGAAAAATTTCGCCCGCTACACCAGAAAAAAAAATTTGCCCCGCTACACTAGTGATTTTTTTTATCTCCTACACTAACGAAAATTTTCGCCCCCCTTGACTCGAAATCCTGGATCCGTCCCTGGTTAGAACATCTTTAATGGTATCGTGGATTGTACTCTTAAAAAATGGACATGTCATTTATGTAAAGGGCCGTCAAATATACATATAAATATTATTTATGCTCCAATGGTATCCTTAAGTTAAAGAATGATACCATTGGCTTTGTACCTACAAAGTAGATTTTTGTTAATTGTTTTGTTGCCACTCTGTTCTAAAAATCGTTCTAGGCGTTCGACTAGTCCCCGCCTAGGCGTTAGGCAGTGGCCGAGCGCCCCGATTTTCGTCTAGGCGCTCCGACTAATTGGTTAGTCATCTATGTCAATTAGTCAGCCGCCTATGGCACCTAGTTGCCCACCTAGAGTGCCTAATCGCCTGCCTAGACCGTCTAGATTCGCCGAACATTATTTTACTTTTTAATTTTAATTTTCTAAGCGTTATACGTACTTCAACAATAGTCATGGATATAAAGAAATGAAGTTTTATATTAAGGTAACCCTATATATGTTTTTATATATACCTAAATTTTATCATTATTTATATTTATAACATAACAAATTAACTGATTAGTTATTATATACTATGTATGATTAAATGTAATAATTCTATCATTCATTTTTGCTAATGTATATGTATATATGTATTTTATACACACAAAAATACCATATTACTTATCATATTTATGAAAAATATAGATAAAGATACAATTTCTATGTCCCCGACTAGGCGCTCGCCTAGCCGCCTAGACGCTAGACCTAGCGCCTTTTATAAATTGGTTGCCAAATAAATAGAATTGAAATAAAATTGAATAAAGAGATGATATTTTACTGAGTCACAATGTTGGAAAGGTCTTCTCAAACTAGAAGTTACAACCGTCAATGTGCATATTTTGAAGTGCCAACTCAACGGAACTGTTAATTTAGGCATATGCGTTGGAGGGGTTATTTTTACTCCACCCTCAATTTGTCTCACGTGGCTGTGCATTCTCAAGAGTGCAGACCACCATTAAAGATGCTCTTAGTTGCCTCTCAACCACACAATATGTATTTATTAAATATATACTCCGTATTTTTTATGTACACAAATCTACTTTAGTATAATAAATTAGAATATGTGATTGTTTGGATAGTTAATATGGGTTTTATCCAAAAACGCTGAATCTTTTACACTTCAAATGCTGCAAGATCACAAAACACTGAAAACCAAACACGAGCTATGTCCCAGTTGAAATTGAATTGCACTTAAATTATTATTTAAACTCAATCATTAAAATGACGTATTTAGACTTTGCAATGAGATGCTAACTTATTTAACTATTTAAATTAAATGTAGAACCACAATGGTAAGATGTAACACTACAAAAAAACAGCGTTTTTTGTCACAGATTTTGTCTGTGACATGCAGGTTTCTAATGAATTTTGTCACGGATTTATCTCACATATCACAAAAAGTCTTTGTCACGAATCAAATCCGTGACAAAACTTTGTCACAAGGGTGGAGACAGGGGAGGGCCAACCTTGGCCTTGGCTCAGCCCAAATTTAAAAAATGTCTTAATTTTTAGTGTAAAAAATTTTGGGGAAAATATTTTCCAAAAATTTCCTTTGTATCGGCCCAATCTGGCCCAGTGTCCTGGCTACGCCCCTGCTTTGTCATAGACGCTTTCCGTGACAACGGCCATGACAACACAGCTCCGTTGACCGGAAACTTATGTCAGCATAATTTTTTTTATTCCGACGTTTTGTCACGGATAAAATTCGTGACAAATTTTTTTTCCCCGTTTGTCACAGACGGATCCGTGACAAAATTTGTAACAAAGCTCAATAATTGTTATTTTCAACGGTTACCAAATTAATGTTGTACGGATAGAGGTTGTCACAGAATAATCTGTGACAAATCTGCGACTTAGTGTATTATACGTGCAAGAATAGTTTATTCGACTCATACCAGTGGAAATTCAATCAGAGTATCATACAATATCTGTTGAAGATTGAGTGATGTAATCTTATGTCATTTTTCATGCCTATGAAGATAAGATATGTCATTTGAATTATGTTTTTTTAATGCTAAATATTAATTTTTTTTAATGTTTAAACCTCAAGATCATGATCTCGATGTTTAAACCTCGAGATCCCGATCTCGATGTTTAAACCTCGAGATCGTGATCTCGATGTATAAAACTCGAGATCCTGATCTGGAGGTTTTGCCTTAGCAAATTTTCATCTAAATTCACCTGCTCCATTTTATGAAAAATCCAAAAACAATAAAAATTTCAGAAAAGGACCAAAAATAAAAGAACAATTGTGCTATGATACGCAAAGAAAAAATTCTTGCCGAGCCTCCCAAAAAGATTACCGCTGAAGAGGCACATGTTGTTCTCGCAACCCGATCTACGACAATCACTCTAAAGGAGAACCAGTCTACACCGCAACATGCTACATATCCTCCGGTCAATGTTCGGTCGTCAAAAAGCGTGCACGACAAAATCTATAGATCCAAATTGGATTATGATGAGGCTGAACACGTCATCAAAAATAACGACAATGTCATCATCCGAGAAAACGCGCAAAGATCAAACATGATGTCATTCCATCATCCAAGCCTAAGAAGAGGCGGCTCGTCAAAAGGAGCTTGATCGACGAGGCAGACCTAGATATCTTTGCTGATTGCCATCCCTTCATCCAGATAAGCCGAACCGAGCCCTTAAGTTCAGGAGACGATCTTTTCGGTTCCCGGGTAGAAGTCGTAGCATCTGGTTCAACTGCGCACGCACAGCCGTCTCCAACCCACTCTGCAGCCTCCCAACAGGCTGTAGTTTCAAA